AAAAAAAAAAAAAAAAACATAGTGAGACAGGGTCTCGCTATGTTGCCCTGGCTGGTCTCAAACTCCGGGCTTCAAGTGATCCTCCCACTTCAGCTTGCCAAATGATGCAAATGGCTGAGAAAAAATAAACCATGTGCAGTTGAGTTTTTGAACTTTCTAGACAATGAAAATGGTGAGATAGTTCCTGCCACCTCATCCTGGGCACTTTAGTTAAATACACTGTGAGTTTCCAGTTAGGAAAACAGCTCCATTTACTTCCAAGTTTGTCAACTGCTAATTGGACATTCATCCAAAATTAACAACCAACCCCCCTGACACTTACCTAGGAGGTTTTTCCTCAGGAAGTCTGAAGTCAGAAAGCTTCTTTTGGTGATGAAGACCAGCATAAATATAGTAAAATATGTGAAAATTTTTCTCTCCCCTGAAAAAAAAAGAGACTTTAGTAATAATGTGTTCTGGCTTCCCCATCCCAATTATTTTACACCATCTTCTTTCTGTGCAAAAAATTATCCCACGGCAAATTTGTATTTTCAGGCAATTAAATATTGTAAATCCCACTTACAGAACAGTGATAGGATTAGTATAGTAACTGTCATAATGTTGCATTATTAAACACACTTTACTACAAGCAAAAGGTTTCAAAGAATGGGACATTTACAGGAAACAGCTCAGGTTGCGTATGTTGAAATCTTTCTATTGCAGCCCAAATGCCTACTGCCTTCTGTTTGTACCACATGTTGCTTCAGAGACAGTGAGGTCCAGCTTAGAGACATCAGCCAAATCCTCTACTTTACTGGAGCCCTAGACAGAAAGTAGCCTGCAAGTCTCACAGCAGTTTAGGGAGCAGGATTGGTCCAGAACTGAAGTCTTCACTCTCCTAAGCTGGTATTCTTAAAAATACTACTCAAAATGTCATTCATTAGTCTGGTCTCCTGCCATCCACCTCTTTTAGGCTGCCCTGGCCAGGGTCCTTTCAGATAGGTGCTACTCTGAGCATAGTCTGTGGACTGCTGTCAGCTCTGAGCATAGTCTGTGGACAGCTGTCAGTTTATAACAAGAGAAGGAACTGGAAAGTACATGCCTAGACATTTTATAGCAAGTGACATTGCCATGACATCCAAGAGCATGATAATTTTTCTGATAATTAATTTTCACTGCATTTTACAAAGGTATTAGTTCAAAATGGGTGGGATATTAAAAACAAACAAACAAAACTGATCCTTTAGCACAGAGAGTTTGAAAAGCACTGCTCCACATTCCCTTCTTTCCTCTGGAGGAGAACATTCTCTTCTGCAGATACCCTTGGATTTTGGCAAATCTTTTCTTTGGTCAACCTAGCTCCATGGAAAGAAATCTTGTCTTTCTTCTCCCCTTATCCCCCTTTGTGGCATGGCCCTCATTCTGTTCAGCCTCTCCTGGGTATCCTCATCTTCCTTTGATTGTTTATCCTGTCAAAGCTCTTCTGTGACTTCTTAACTAATAAATTTAGTTAAGAGACAGGGTCTCACTCTGTTGTCCAGGCTGGAGTGCAGTGGTGTGATCATAGCTCACTACAGCCTCAAATTTCTGAGCTCAAGCAATTATTGCACCTCCGCCTCCCAAGCAGCCATGACTATAGGCACACACCACCATCCCCCGCTAATGTTTTTGTGTTTGTAGAGACAGTCTTACTATGTTGCCCAGGCTGCCTTGACCTCCCAAAGTGCTGGGATTACAGACATGAGCCACTGTGCCCAGCCCCTATTTTTATTTTTTTAAAATACATTTTATTGTGTATATTTAAGATGTACAACATGATGTTATAGGATATACATATAAATAGAAAAATGTGACTATTCAATGAATAAACATCTTAATTGCCAGTCATGGTAGGCACTGCACCAGGTACCAGGGATACAGGACTAAAGGGATTCATGTTCTCTGACTGTCATTATAAGAAGCCAAGATCGCTACAGGGAAACCAGTCAGGGGGTCCCGGTGAGAAAGCATAATAGCTCAGATAGGGTAATGGTAGTGGTGATGGAAAATAAGAGTAAGCTTAAATATTATATATATTCTGGAGAAACAACCAAAAGAACGTCCTAATAGACTGAATGAGGATGGTGAGGGAAAGAAACCTAGAGACTGCCTCCTAGATTTCTAGCGTGAGCATCTAGTGATGGTGGCACCCTTCACTGAGACAGGAACCGAACGGCCTGAGATGAATGTCACTTGTTCTTTAATCTCTGTTACATGTGCAGGCTTTGGCTGACCTATCTCAGTCTTACCTTCCTACAGTTTTTCTACAGATCCATCTAGTTCTCAATTCTTCCAAGCTTTTCCTGCTGATATCCATCACTAGCATCAATTCAGTTTGATTTCCATCCCTTTATCTGTCAAGATTGGCTAGGTTTTGTTATAGTAATAACACCCCAAGATCTTAGTAGCTTAACTCAACACAGGTCTAGTTCTTGCTCAGAGTACCTGTCCATGGCAGGTCAGTGGTGGGGCTGTGCTCACTGCAGTCACTCATGAGCTGTGGCTGGCAGAGCAGTCCCCGTCTTACACTTTGCCAGACTCTGGAGGGTTGCCGTTACATGCCCACTTGCCAGAACCAGTTATGTGACCACACCCAGCCACACAGGAACCTTACAGTGTGCCCAGAAGGGGGTGAACCCCAACAGTTGGATGAACAGGACTGGCACAGGCCCCATCTTCTCTTCCTCTCACTTAATTCTTGTAAGAGCCTTGTGAGGTTGACATTATTATGCCCATGTTGCATATGAGGAAAGTAAGGTATATGAATATTTACATTAACAAGCAACATATCACATTAAGTGACTGAGAACTCTCCTCACACTATCTTGGTAAAAGACCACTTTACATTTGAACACAGAACACTATGCTTTCCATTCTGTCAGAGGTAGCTCCCTAAATTTTAAAACAATCCTAAGCTGGGGAGACAGAAGCAGGGGACCTCATAAAAATTAATCAGAAAGCCACAGGGAAGCGTAAATGACTCTGACTCTATCTTTCATTTGTTTAATGTTCATGCCAATCCCTACTGTGTGAGGAAACTGCAAGTACATGATAGAGGAAGATGCTTGGGTTCTCAGCCCAGAACAATTCCTGTAAATTCTACTTGCACAGTATCTTTCAGACTCCTCAACTTCTCTCCATCTCCACTGCCACCACCTTAGTCTAGGCCAGCGTTCTCTCTCACATGAATTTGGCAACAGCATCCTAATCATATCAACACAATCCTTGCATGTCCTCCAATCCATTCCCCATTGAAGCTAGTGTGATCATTTCAAAATGCAAGCTGGGTTTGGTGACTCCCCTGCTTGAAAACGTTCAGTGGCTTCCTATCGCCGTTAGAAAAAAGTTTGAAATCCTCATCCTGGTTTCAAAGCTCTGCATGATTTGGTCTCAGTCTTATCTTTGCCACTTTTCCTCCTTACTCTGGTCCCCACCTCGTTGCCTAACTCCTAGTGATCCTGTGATCTCACATACAGGGAGACCTTCTTTCTCCCTAGACTAGGTTATGTGTCCTTCCCTTCTCTCGTTTCACCTTAATAGCACCTACTTTGCTTTCTGGTGCTTATTACAATTGTTCTACATTTAAGTTTACTTGTTTAATGCCTGTGATTCTCCCCTACTCCTTCCTCGTATACCGCATACTCCAAGCCCCGTGAATACAAGAATCTTTTGTATTTAGTTTACTCTTACAAGCCAACACAAAGCACAGCACTGGCAAACAGCAGGGATTCAATAATGCATTAATATGGAAGTGCAGAACCATGCTCCTGAGAAGCTCTGGTGTCCTACAATAATAATAATAGCTACTAATATTAATAATTATAATAGCTATTATTATTAAAGGAAGATATTGTTATTTTTTATTATACTTTATGTTCTAGAGTACATGTGCACAACATGCAGGTTTGTTACATATGTATACATGTGCCATGTTGGTGTGCTGCACCCATTAACTCGTCATTTACATTAGGTATATCTCCTAATGCTATCCCTCCCCCCGTCCCCGACCCCCCACCCCATGACAGGCCTCAGTGTGTGATGTTCCCCAGGAAGAGTTATTATTATAACAGGAAGAGTAGCTAACACTCTGATAGCATGTACCACACTAGTGGTTATATTATTATAATAGGAAAAGTAGCTAATACTCTGATAGGATGTACCACACTAGGCATTCTTTTAAGTAATTTTATATAAATGAACATGTTAATCCTCACAACAAACCCATGAGGTCAGCACTAGTAGCATTTCCATTTCACAGATGAGGCACAGAGGTGGTCAGTGAAATGCCCAAAGTCACACAGTGAGTATCAGAACCTGCATTTGAACCCAGATCAAAGTCTGTGCTATTGATTTCTATTACCAAATGCTTTCCTTAAAAACAGAATAATTGTTTTCTCTGCCTCAATCTAAGGACAAAATTAACGTGTGAAATATTCTTGGTGTCTTTTTTTTTTTTTTTTTTAACAAACAAGTTCAATTTTAAGGGGCCTCAGGGTCTTAAAAAATGTCTGCAATGCTGCTAAATTCTACCTGACACAACCAGCTCAGGAGAAACAAGCATACCCATTCGCAAAGCACACCTACCCCAGCCCTTTGTACTCTTTCCATTAATTTCTTTCAGGTTAAAATCTACCACTGATCCTTTGCTTAAATCATTCTTTGCCCTTGGGAGAGTAGGGGAATGTTAAGAACAAGGATGAAAACTTAACTGTTAAAATTCCCAAAGCGCCCCCCCGGTTTTTACTGCAGGGCAAAAACACAGTGACAAAGTAGTGCACCTACGCTGCCTGTTTTATCACTCTGGATTTTTCAAGGAGATATTCAGAGATTCTTGCCCCCATCACAACTCCAGTTGGTGTGAACATCATTTCCAGATATTTTCCAAAACGGCTGGAGTTGTCATTGATGGCAGTGCATGCGTTCCCAAAGGCTTCCACTAGGGAGTTGACTTGTAGAATTTTCTCTCTCAGGGTCTGATTATTGGCCTGTGCCAAACAGAGAACAGTCAAGAAGAGACTCCAGAAACATTACTCCAGCAAAGTTGCCGGGCACCCATCCCTTGCCCACCCAAATCCACATTGCCCGTTTATAAAGAGATGTTAGCATCAACCACCAGCATCATTTTCTCATATGAGCAACTCCCCAGATCTGCATATGAATCAGATTTGGCTAGATTAGGACAGCAGTTTTTAAAATCCAGCTATATTTCATTTAAAACCCTTGACAGATAAAACGCCTAACCAGTTTAGAAAGATTTTTAAATAGATCCCGCAACTTTTCTGGCATTTATCATAATAGTCCATAAACCTCATCTATAAAAATTCCATACATTCTTAGTCACCTAGTACACTAATTCAGAGTGTAACTACTAGACTATTTTTGAAGTCATTCTTTCAATATCGATTTCACCAAGCTGAAAATTTTCATTTCCCTCAACTTTTGCTCAAAGGCTTCTATTTTCCATCCTTTTAATCACTATAGTGGCTTCCCTGATCCTGTTCCTAGTGCTTAACCACTCTTACTACTTAATGGCTGAATGTTTCTATTACACTGAAAACATGAAAATTAATTGCCAATAATCTAGTAAATTTGCGCTGGCATTATTCTCCTCCCGGTGTGAAAGAAGGATAGCATGCTGACATCTTAAGAGGCCTTGCTATCAGGAGGCAAACATAACAAAGATGGAATGTCTTTATGTAAGCCTCAATAAAAAAAAAAAAAAAACAGTACTTCCATCATTTATAAAATATGCAGTTACTCTGTAGGAACTTCTCGCCACAATACATAAAGCAGATTAGTCCATACCTTTCCCAAGAAAGTCAAATGCTGAACAATCAGGTGAGCACTCTCTGTCTTCCCAGAGCCACTCTCTCCACTGATGACAATGCACTGGCACAGAAAATGGACCGTCAAGTGAAGAATTTATAGCACAGAAGCAACTTGCGTGCTTCATATAACATCCGCTACTGTACACCTTAATTTTTCACTGGGAAATAGATCTTAGGAATCTTCCTATTTAAGAGACCTTCTTCAACCTTTTGTATAGCTACTTGTTGTTCCATTGTACAGATGCACCATAATCTGTTTAATCAGTCCATCTTGGGATATTTGAGTTTTTTCCTTGTAATTATAAACAATATTACAATGAATAACCTTATACATAAGTCATATTTTTATGCAGGTTCATCTGTGGGAGAAATTCCTAGAAATGGGGATGTTGGATCAAAAGGTAAATACATTTGTAAATTTGATACCTATTACCAAATTGCTTTCCTGGGGACTATTCCAATATATGAAAGTGCCTGCTCTCCTGTAGCCTCACCAACAGGATGTTAGATTTTTGACAATCTAATAGGTTTAAAAAATGGTATCTCAGTGTGGCTTTATTCTGCATTTTAAAAATTACGAATGAGGCCTCCTTCCATTTGCTTAAGAGGCTTTTTTTTTACGTGACCTGTCCATATTGTTTGCCCATATTTTATTGTATTGTTGATATTTTTATCATTCATTTCAGGGAACTCTTTATGTATAAAGGAAATTAGTGGATGTGGTATAATAAAAATTAGATATTGGGCATTGTCCCTGGTTCCTGGCACTGAGCTCCTAAAACCTTTGGAATTTCCAGCAGTGGTAGGAGTATCTGTTATTCACAAGGAGCCCCTTTCAACCATACCTCAGTTTATTCCTAACAAGGTGGTTCAAGGTGAGGCCCCTAGATAGCTTCAGACCGGTCATTAGAAAGACCAAACATGTGATTAGAATGTGGGAACTTTCAGCCCTATCTCCCAACTTCTAGAAAGAAGAGGGGAATTTAAGATTAAGTTATACAAATTCTTGAACAACGAGATTCAGAGAGCTTCTGAGTTGGTGAACACATCGAGGTGCTGGGAGGGGGATGTGCCCAGAAAAGGCATGGAAGCTCTGTATGCCACATCCCCTTCCTTCCCCCATATACCCTGCCCCATATGTCTCTTTTATTTGGCTGTTCCTTAGTTATACCCTTCATAATAAACTGGTAAATGTAAGTAAAGTGTTTTCCTTAGTTCCTTGAGTCATTCCTAGTGAATCATCAAACCTAAAGAGAGTCACAAGAACCCCTGGACTGGTATTCGGCCAGGCAGAAGTGTGAGAAGCCGAGGTACTCCATTTGCAGCTGGCATCTCAAGTGGGAACCTTCTTGTAGCACTAATCACTTAATCTGTGGAGTCTGTGCTAACTCCAGGTAGTGTCAGAATTGAACTGAATCGTCGGGCACCCAGCTGGGCTTGGAGAATTGGTTGGTGTTGGAAAAAATACAACATTTGGTGTCCGAAATGGTGTCCAAAAAGACAACGCAGTGAGGTGACTTCTTTTTTTTTTTTTTTTTTTTTTTTGAGACAGTCTTGCT